CCCCCCCCCCCCCCCACTTCAAAACAGGCTCCGCGGTCCCTGTAATATGGCCATTTGTATGAGCCTATAAAAACAAAGGTGTAACATACCCCCCCCCCCCGGCATTTGACTTTTTGTATTTTGCAATGATCAAATCCCCCACCCTGGCGCCCCAATTAAAAAAATAGGTACGCTTGTTTGAATTATTGACTATAAATGTATCATATAACACTTACATTATCATCCCATATATAATTAATAGACAATCGATATTAAAAACATGCATGGTGAATCACAGAAAAGCTTTCTCATGCGACTTCGACTTTGGGCAATCTTCTAGGATATAACAAAAAGTTTTTATCGGACAATTTTGACTTATCAACAGTCAGTCAAACAAACAGTTTCTGATAGAAACACCTTCAGTTGTCACCCTGTAGAAAGCTGCCATATTTGTTTTGCTGCTTGTTTGCAGGCATACAGCCCTAATTAGTCGACCTGAGGGTTTAACACACACACACAACTCGATAGCATAGTATCTAGCGCTCCCTGCAGGTACAAAAATGCAGCTTAAATGCCCTACATTCCACAACTAAGTGGTGGTTGAATGCTCCATTGTAAATTTAATTTGAAGGTTAAAATTCTTCAACTTTCAACTTCCTCAGTCCATTCTGGTCCAACCAATCTTTGAACATAATTCACATTTTGACTTTGAAAATCTTTTAATAAAAATTTCACAAGTCTATCTATAATACATATGTTAGACATAATACATAATACATATGTTAGACAAACTAAAAATGTTTTAGTTGTGGTCAAATCCCTGTCTTCGATCATTATAAGTGGAATCAAATGCCCCACCACTTTAAGTTTTCTTGACAACAAATGCCCACCCCTGGGGAAAATTACAAATGGCAAATGCTCCTCTCGTGCCCGGGGGATGTTACGTCTAACATCTTCATTTTGGTTGGTGCATTATTGCCTGAAGTTACTGTAGTGCTCATTAATAATACAATGTACTTGAAAATACATGCATGCAAAAACCACTGAGCTGTATAATAACTGGAGGACCTGCTCCTATGTATTGCCAAAAACATGGTGGATTTGATGTGATCTTAGAAATGCCCTCTGAACCCGATGCCAAAGTGCATGCAACCTTTTCCTCCTATAAAAATCACAATACTGCAAAGGGACTTATTGGTATTTCTCCTCGAGGAGACGTTGTATTTGTATCCGAGCTTTATGCTGGCAACAGATCAGATCAACAAATTACAAGAGATTTTGGCATCCTAAACTTGCTTGAGCCCAAGGATGAAATTATGGCTGACAGAGGGGTTGCCAGTGAAGGAGAGTTACCAAGCGGGATCTCACTAAAAATACCACCCTTTTTGCACAATCAACCCCAGCTTTTGGAACAGGATGAAGTTACAACCAGGCGAATTGAAAAGCATCCCATAGATAGCAATACAAAGGATTAAAAGTTATTGCATTTTTCATCAGACCGTAATTTTAGCATGGCTGTAGATCTAAATAGAATTTTGATCATATGTTCTCATCTGACCCTATTTAATAAACCGCTACTTACTTAAGTTATTGAAGTAGTCAGTGCGGATGACATTTATTTTGCCAAACAAATTTGAATGTTTATAACTTAGATATATAATATTCAGTTCATGTGTGTACACTCTAGGCATTAAATAGCGTGTCCCTGTACACACTTTGTGTCCTTGTAAAAGGTGAATGTGCCCTTGTAAATTGAAAAGTGTGTACTTGAAAATATATTAAACTGTAATCCACGCAAAATGGCCAAAGATTTTGCGAATTCTGTTCTCAGAACTCTGGAAATGCCATTTCAGAGACCCCCTTAAAAGCTCACTTCTTTTACGCTAAACTTGTGGCTTCGCCACTCGTTCTCGTGAGTCTGCGCATTTATACCAAAAATATGCCTCTGAAGGCAAAGTGTGTCCTTGTAAAAATTCCGTATTTTAATGCCTGGTACACTCTATAATGGGTCATTCCAGAAAAATCCACATCCACTACAGTGAAAAAGGGGCAACTACATATTTTCAATTCCCTTCAAGGGGAAAATGTGGCATTTCTAGAACAACCAAATGTTAAAGAGTATAATGTTTATGAATGTGTTTAAAAATGATTTGCAAAATTAATTGCATGTTTACCCAAGCTCCATTATGTAATCGAAATGAAAGGAAGTTAGTTTGGTAACATATTTGATTCCCAATTCTGTAATGTGTAAAAACAACAAAGTCAATTCCCAAACAATGAAGCAGTCTCGCACTGCTGTTGTTTCCAGATTACATTTTGTGACTTCAAATGGGATATTTGTCTTACAGTAATTTTGTGTTTCTTCTTTTTACAGTTGACCAGTATTTGTGCATATCATCAATTGATTTTAAGAGACAATACCTTTTTGTAAGTATGCAAGAAACACTGGATTCTGATTGGATAATTATCGCTCGCGCATGCCCAGTACATGTCTGTTCAGGATGCTTTGATCTTGCCATTCTTGATTCTGCATGAGACTCCATTCGATTCTGCATGGAATTCTTTATAAACAGCCCTAGTTTTCCTTTTTCATTCAAAAACTGAAGTCAACGGAGAAATACGGCCAGCCAACGTACTAATATTTTGTAATACGCCCTCAGATGTTTATTTAATAATTAAGAATAGGCGTTTTATGGGCCTTGCCTATATTAATGTCGCACTACTTGACAATCTAAGTGGCTCTCCACCAATGGGAATTTTACGTTGTTTAGACAACGCCGTGTTCATATTTGTTCTCTAATCAGCCGTATACAAGGCGTTAAGGCCACGCGAGTTGACGTATAATGATAATAGTCGTGATCGGTATTAATTGGATAACCGGTTCAAATGATAATGAGAGTTGATACGATTTGCCGTCAAACATTGTTCAGGGGATATTTCAAGCATGTATTATAATATCTTATTGGATTCTTCTGAGCCCAATATGGCAAAATATTAAGTCGAGACTTCAATATTAAAGTCGAGACTTAATATTTTGCCATATTGGGCGAAGATGAATCCAATAGGAGTTTTATTATATCGAACAAAACAATTCTATAACAAAAATTGTCAATAAGCGATAAAGTAAATACAGCGAGACTAATGCAGCGACAACATTACTACATATATCGGCGGCGAATTTGCTTAAATAACTAAAAAAAAAGTTAATAAACCTGTTTTTAGTTTTTACAAATATGTGTGCATAAATAAACTCAATTCCATGTATGTTTAAAGGAAATTTGACCTAATTTTAACGAAAAAAGTAATATTACTAACTTCTAGGCTGTTGCAAACAAATAAATTTCGCGAAGACAAGTTTTCCCGCGCTTTTATAATTTTAAACAAAACTGGTAGAAAAAACTGTATTAATGTCCTAAATTCTTTTCATTCAAGTTCTGCCATATCGTTTGTCGTATGTTTGAAATTGACAAAACATCTGAAAAGGGTTGAAAAACCATGAAAAAAGCCACAATTCGCAACTGTCCAATAGGTTCCTGTCCAATATCGTAAAATATTGGATCGGCACGTGACCCTCTCAACGATTACTGATTGGTTAAGTGCGCGTGAGTGTATAATAAACAGGGGCGCACATCTAAGGAATTTCTAGGGGGGTGTGGGCCACTTGGGGACCGACTTTTTGATATTCAAAAAGAAATGAAACAGAAGGGTAAAAACAATTCTGCCAAAACATCATGCCACAGAACAGGGACGTGGGAGTGTATTTGAAATTAGTCGCACGAGGCGCCACCATGGTTGGCGCCGAGCGAGAAAATTTTCAACATTTAGAACCTCTAGGTCGCCGGAAACGACCATTTCAGAGTCTTAACTCTACCTTTTCGGTAGGCTCGTTCAGGTGTACGAACGAAGGATTAAGAAAATTCATCCCTTATTTAATAGTTCGCTCAATTTCTGCATTTGTTCAATCTGTTCCAGATCAATAGAATCAGATAAGTCTTTTTCTGAACTGAAGAATCAAAACATGTGTATAGGCCTATGAGCTCGCGTGTGAATACCAGGACGTGTTTATTAGTAATGTGTATGAGCTATCATGAGAATATCCGTTCGCAGGCCACAGGTGCGAAATCGCATAGTAGCAGAGAGAGAGCAGAGAGTTCGAATATAGTTGCTACTTTCGTCCGTCCATATAAAATACTGAAAATAATGAAAAATGGGAGTGTATAATAACAACTAGCAAAACAATGAAATCAAGATAATAAATAATCTGAATGAACCATCTAAACCTTAGCGGGTGCGCTACGATTTGACGTTTAAATATCAAGAAATAGTTTCTTACACATTAACACATGCACATAGGCCTACCTTTCACAACTTCATAAAAAGCCGCGTGAGTAAACTGCGCGTTGCTTCTAACTTCATCAAATTCCACATCACATAATCAATTTGACCATCGCTTCAATGGTAATGTTATGTTGTTCTTTTAAACCGTTTCTTTTCAAAAATAGTAACGCCAGACACCAACGTGGTCGGTGATCTCCCGTCTCCGTATGTAATGTAACGCGATACATTAAAAGTTCCTCAGGCCGAATTTTATGTAATCCAATACACACGACATACAGGAAATGTATTTGTATTTCCTTTTGGCCATGCATTAACCGGTGAACGCGTGTCCCTTGTTCATAACATCTTACCAACCAGCTCTTGTGTTGTCGGTCCCAATTCACGGAGTCGGACAGAAGTAAATCTTAATTCTCATACCCGAATTTTGGGACCGAGTTTTCGCACAGTATCAAGGAAGAATGGGACCGACTTTTAGTGATATTCGGACGCTAAGGGGGGTTTTGCACCCCCCAATGTGCGCCCCTGATAATAAATTAACAAAAAAGTCAAGTCAATAGCTTCACTTATATGTCGAGTCAATCGCTTCATGACTTGAGTTAAGGAAATAGTTGAATTTGAGTTGACTCAGTCAAGTAATTTGATAAATTTCGCACCACATATTCTCTAATGGATCAGTACGCTGACTGGCAATCTGTGAAATTACTGATCAATCAGATCCACCTTAATAAAATTTAAATAAATATTGAATTTCAGTCATTTATAATAATAATCTCATTATCCATTACATGTAAAATTATGCAGGGCTTTATTTATAAATTACTTGGTTTTTTAAACCATTTGGATTAGTATTATATTATGTTTGTGATGTTACTCTGAGTGTGTATCCACACCGGGCAAGCTTGAAAAATATGCCTGGCCACGGTGGGAATCGAATACAAATTATATACAATGTTGTGTTAATATTTCTTATAACATTATATCCCAAACTCTAGGGTCGTAAATGTTTCTTTAACACCAGTTTAATTCTGTTTCCTTCACTATTATTCTCCGTATCATACCGAACACTTCGCACGGTTATAAACCTGCCATGTAATTTCCTCATAATCTTTTGCGCATTTTGCATGTCATCAGGCATCTACAAATTCATTATTATTTGCCAATGATGTTAAATTCAACTCTTCTAAAGGTTTTGCGTACAGAATATATGAAGATGTGGTAACTTTTTGTATTAAATTCCATGTTTGTCTGCCAAGACAAAAACTGCTAGGCGCTCCCCAGGACGCATCCTTCCCAACAGCCCAGCCCCTTCACGCGTCGCCTGCTTGCCTGCCTGAACACTTATGTATCCTAAATGGTATATATTCCTGTTATATTTAAAGCGCCTGGGTACGAGGCAGACTCTTGCATGTGCCTGATTTTTAAATTGTGCACAAAACCATGCATTTTAATATTAACAGGTGCATTTCAACTTAAAAAACAATGTTCAAAATTAGCCATTAAAGACACTAATAAAGCCTATTTGTTTTTAGGGCGTTGTCGAGCTATGCATTCTTCCACTTCAAAGCAACCTAAATAAACTGAAATTGAACTGCAAACAACTTCATATCCTTTTATTTATCAATTCATTTATTTGTCTCTTGTGATTTTATAACTCTACTATTACATGAATGCAATATGCCCCAGGGAGAGGCCGGAGAGGAAAATCAGATGAAAAGAGAGGTGGGTGGACGAGAGTGGAAGGGATATTGGGCAGATGTCTGTCGGTTCAGTTAAGACAAAATTATGGAAAAGCATGTAAATGATGACACTGCGCAAAAGCATGCGACTCATTTTCTATTTTTTTAAATAAAATGGCCTTCCTCGGAATATTTGAGAAACAGACATAATTACAGCACAGTACATGTAGCACATGTTTGTATAAGCGTGCATGGATATAGTTCTTTTAAACGTATTTGAACTTTTATGTCGGACGAAATGTTTCAAATCCATTTTATACGCGTCACAGACATTAAAAGATTTCATATACGATCGTGAATTTCTGCATTATGGTGAACAAATATATTTTGAAGAACTAATGTTGGTTAATTCTTGCTGGTGACAAAACCTTTTTTTATATATTTGACCGTCATATTTTAGCAATTTGTATCAGTCAGTCGTCTTACCTAAAAGTATTGAATCCAGTTTTGACTATAGCTTTCCCTTAGTCTTAGACTTATAGAAAAATGTGTAACCTGCTCACCGCAGACTTCTCATGGGTCACCGTCCCTGGGTTCCTCAGTTTCGTACACAGATATATACCTGTTTGCAGGTTTGGTGCCCACTGACTAACTTGCAGGCATTCTTTAATTTTGTTTTTTAATTTTACAAGATTCGCCAAACATAACAGACATAAATAAGACTAATACTTTACAAAATTTACATACAATTTGGGCAGGGACTAGCCACAGAGATAATCTCCAATTATGGGGCCCCTCACAATAAATTACAATATATAACATTAAAACAAATTATGCTAAAATGTCAACAACATGTCCTCACTAATAAGCTATCAAGAGACCGAGTTGAGTGGCATTTGACGCACACGGACTTAAATGTTCTAGGATTGTGCGGGTTGTATATTTGTTCTAAAAGGTTTAAGTAGTAATTGAATAAAGAGATTTTAAAGTAAGCTAATGATCTTGAAGTGTCACGAATATTGCTAGGGAGAATGTTCCATACGCTAGGCGCTCTCACATAGAAATTGTTCTTGTAGCTAACTGTCCTGCATCGAAATACATTAAGAAGAATACCATTGACAGGGTCAGCGTTTCTAGTCGTCCGGGTGGTTGTTCGTATTGACACATTGACATCGTTGCTTAGAATACTCTTGTAAAGAAAAACTAAGTCTAGAAATTCGTGCCAATAGCAGACTGGGAGAATACCGATAACCAGTAGTTGTTTCCTGCTTGTTGTGGCTGTTCTGTAAGGAAGGGAAAGGATGAATTTGGTCGCGCGACGTTGGACCCAATCTATTGACAGTATGTCGGTGACAGTTTGAGGTGCCCACACCTGGCTGGCATATCCTAACTTGCTGCGCACTAAGGACAGGTACAAGACCTTTCGCACGTGGATGTTATGCGTGTCGGAGGCTGTTCGACGAATGAAGCCTAGCATTGAGCTCGCTTTTGATATTATTTCTTCAACCTGTTTCGTCCACTTGAGATCTTTTGTGACAACAATTCCAAGGTCTTTTTGATGACATAGTTGCTTCAGAGAACTATCCAGTAGTTTATAATTTGTTGTGACTGGTTGGCGACTTCTTGTGAAGCTCATTACTCCGCATTTAGACTTATTTAAGTCCATCTTCCAGATAGTACACCAGTTCACGCGATTATTGAGATCATTCTGCAGACTTTCGCAATCGGATAAATCTTTCACCGGACGGTAGCACTTGGTATCATCGGCAAACATTGCCACAGTTGATTCGCCCGAGATGGAATGTGGAAGATCGTTCGCATATACTAGGAAAAGGAGAAGCCCCAAGATTGATCCCTGAGGAACTCCAGACAGTACAGGGAGTGTACCCGAGGTCTCACCCAGAACAGTGACTCTTTGGTAGCGGCCGGAGAGATAATTTTCAAACCAACTTAGTAGGTCACCTCTTATTCCAAACTTGTGAAGTTTAGTTAACAAAAGCTTATGACTAACCTTGTCAAACGCTTTTGCAAAGTCCAAATACACAGCGTCGACTTGGTTTCGACTCTCCAACGCTTGATGAATATCTTGGAGAACGTGCAGAAGCTGTGAGGTGGTTGACTTGCCTCTGAGGAAACCGAATTGTAGATGGTGGAGTTGAGTGGAAATGTGTGATACGAGTCGGTTGTAGACGCAACGTTCGAAGACTTTGGAGACCAAGGACAACAGAGATATTGGTCGATAGTTTCATACCTCTTCAGCTGGACCTTTCTTTGGGATTGGAACAATATTGGAGAGTTTCCACTCATTTGGAAGTTTACCCAGCGATAAACTCTTGTTGAAGAGATCACATAGCGATAAATAAATACTGGACGCACAGTTTTTGAGGAGTTTCGCTGGTATTTTGTCAGGGCCAGTCGCTTTGTTTTCATCGATAGCAGCAAGAACGTGGTGAACTTCCTCGGGTGTTAAGGTAATGCTGGAGATGGTACATTCTGAAGTATCAGAGTTCGAGTCACTAGAGTTTGGAAAGGACGTTTCGTCGTCAGAAGGTTTGAAAACGGAATAGAAGTAGTGGTTGAGTAAGTTGGCAATATCCGCTGGGTTCTTCGCTGAGCTTGTTACGTCGTCAGGATGAGACCATGACATTTTGTTGGGAATGTTCGAGTGCTTGGAAACGGACTTGAAAATTGACCAAAACTTCTTTGTACTCGATCTCAGTAAAGCTGGGAGAGATTCAAGGAATTTCTTGCGTTTCGCGTAGATGATGGACTTTGTTTTACGTCGCAACTCCCGATACTTTTCCCAGAGGCTGGAGCACGATTTCTGTTTGGCCGCTCTTCTGCAAGTGTCTTTCTTTTGAAGGAGATGTTTAACTTCGCCGTCGATCCACAAAGGAGTGGTACGTCTTTTGAAGTTTTTTTGCGGGATATGTTTGGCAGCAGCACCAAGAAACAAATCTTTCCATTTCGTCCAGTCAGCATCGATATTAGTATTCTCTGGCGCGATTGGAAATTACGGACACAAATTGACATCTAAGATGAGCTATCTCATCTTAACTGAGCACGCAGTGGCGGAAATTCACTTTTTCCGGGGGGGGGGCAAAGCCTCCTAAATTTCCGACAAAACTTTCAAATTTCCGACATACCCCCCATTTGCACTCGAAAAGACTGTTTTTAGCCCTCTTTTAGGTCAATTTTCCTTGAAGGTGGGGGGGGGGGCGCCCGCTCCCGCCCCCCCCCCTCGCCCCACCAAGATTTCCGCCACTGTGAGCACGAGTGGATTGAGCTGATGTTCAACGAATATTAATGTGGTAAACTACTAAATTGTTTCAAGTTATAGTCGGCAAAGTTTTTGATTTTTGCTAGAAGTTTGAGGTTAAAAAATATTATGTGACTCAAGCGTATAATTAAAAACATTTGAATTACAACTTGAGCATCAGTGTGCTGCCTACAAATTATGATGTTATGTAATAAATGTTCAGCGACATTGGCTTTTTTTCTGTGAAGAGATTGTGGTCAGATGTGTACTTTTTCGCCAGCAACCAAATTTTTGCCTCGTAATATATAAATACGATGCCTGCATGAATGCGGAGCAGGCTGCACGAGCTCATATTTTTTCGCCTTCTTGCTCGCCTACTTCTCTTCCATCATCTTTTTTTCCCAGCATATAAGGTGGTGGCAAAATAAATATAAAACACCCAATATATCATAAAATTATCCTTCAATGTGAGTCAGTATAATTATTTCTTAACACTTCTCAAGGATATTTAGAGTTTGTGTTCAAGACAAAGAAAACAGTGTTTGGTTTGATGCTGGCTTTCAACTTGACGATGCAGAGGAAAATCTTTGCAGCCAAAGTAAAAAGTGAGTTACCGTACATTACAACAAATTTGAACATAGAACAACACTTTACATCTCAATGTACAGATAAGGGAGTATGCTGTGATGACAAAGGGGACATTTGTTGCATGCGCGAGAAACGCGAGCGTTGAGAGCAGTGCGCTTATATATAGGGTGGTGGTGCAACGCCAGTAATTTCACTGATCTTAAGATATGAACTTGAGATTAGGAACTTCAACATGCCTTTTGCTAAATTTAAACTAAATCCGTACTCCAAGTGATATTGTACAAATATATTAAATTAGTTTGCATTCACACGAAAAAGTTTGAGAAAAATGGCCACAAAACCATGTGTATCAAAATCTTTGTGTATCAAAATCTACTTTTCCCTCCATTTTCTCAAAGAGATGTGCTCGCCCCAGGCTACTCCGCATCACACGCCGATCGGCGTGCGCACGCTCGTTGCACTACCCAACAGGGGTGAGTTATATGGTGACGCATAAAAAGAGTGTTTCGTGGATTTATCTGGTTTTAGAGGAATACATTGTTTTGCTTAAAAATTTATGATTTGAAAACAGGCAAGCTCGCTTTTTTTGGAAAATTTATCTATATTTTATATTGCCCATCATTTGTTTAATCTAAATAGAAACAGATTAAATTGACTTTATAAGCTTTTAAAGGGGCAGTGTCACCAATTTTTGACCAAAAATGACTTTTATTCAGAGTCTGCGAATTTGAAAATAAACATTATAAATAGGTTCAGTTATGGTATACGAATCATATTAAACAACTTTGAACTTCTACACAGCATGTAAGACGACGTTTTCATACAAATTGGCTTAAACTTGAAAAAGTGTCCGCCAACAATTAATCAAGATATCATTTACAATCCATCTCAATCTTCGCCTAATTTCAACCATTCAGACTTCTGTACATGCTTTTTGTATTTGTTATTGTTTTATGCTGTGCTTACAACCATTCTTTTTAGGTTTTGTGCAAGATTCCTAAAGATTTGCGAGGGTCAATATCGGTGACACTGCCCCTTTAAGATATGGTTAACTGATCTGGAAAATTTCTGTATTTTTTTACACATTTTACTAAAGAATTAATAAGCATGTATACACACAAGAACGACTGTGAAAAATGCAACACTAGATCCTCTGGCAGGAATCAAACCCATCCGGTGCCGCGCTCTAACCAACTGGGCTAAACAGTCCAGTTATCTAGCTCTAACAGTAGGTATTATTATTAAACGGTTTATTAAAATCAAATCATCTCGCAGCCCGGAGGCTGAATTACATGATTTTTACAATAATTATATTAAGAAATATATAATTTCTTAATAACTTTACAATTAGATCTTTAATAACTTTACAATTAGATCTTATTGAGGATAAAAATACTGAGGTAAAATATTATAAATGTAGAATAAAAAAACTATAATTAGACTAGTTCCAAGAGACTTGATATAATGTAAGTGTTTTTAAATCTTTTGGTATTACACCTTGGAATATTAAAAAGTTTTGGATTTCTTAAGTTGTAAGTATTTGAATGCTTTGTAGGTAAGAGATGGTGAATTTTATGATGTTTGTCATTCACTATTGATTTGAAGACTTTAGTACTAATCCTTTCTTGTCTTCAAAGTTTCCATATCTAATTCTTCAATGGCTTCTGAATACGACAAGTCTGAGCATATGATGCGCAAAGCTCTCTTCTGATTCCGCTGTATATTTGGTCAGAAAGATATTCCGGGAGACCGTAATGAAATACTTGACATGCGTATTTAAGGATAGATCTTATAGAAGCAATGTAGAAACATTTTAAATCATTGTCACTAAGACCCAATCTCTTTAGTTGTTTCATCAGATACAGTCGCTTCGCTGCTTTAGTTGTTATCTTATCCACATGGGCATTCCACTTCATGTCTTGAGTGATCAATAAACCGAGAATCATTGCTTTTTCAATACGCTCTACGTTAATTTCGTTTATCTTTATCGGCGGGAAAACAGGTTCATTACGTTGAAAGTTAATCACAATCTCCTTGCATTTTGTCGGGCTGAGTTCAAATTGATTGTAAGTGGACCAATTCACAATACAATGAGTAACATCTTGCAGGGAACTCGCATACTCTTGATTAAATATATATTCGAAACATTGGTGTTGTCTGCGTATTTAAACATAGCACCTTCAAAATCACCAGATGCGATCGAAAGATCGTTAATCACAAGGAGAAATAGCCATGGGCCCAATTTGGTTCCCTGAGGAACTCCAGCATTTATAGGCTTCCAATCTGAAAAACAGTCCTAGTGGAACTTTACTCTTTGTGATCGTGCACGTAGGAAATCTACTATCCAATTAAACACCGATGGTTCAATACCAATTTGCTGCAGTTTCTGGCAAAGAACGTTATGGTCTATTAAATCAAATGCCTTCCGATAATCGGTAAGCAGCGCTCGTACGATTCCGTCCCTCGCATCCACAGTTTCTGTCCAACGATGAATTAAGGATATTAGGGCCAATGTAGTACAGGAGCCAGGAATGAAACCATATTGATTGGGATGTATACATGACATTATTGAAGACTTTAGATCATATGAGATGACAATTTCCTCAGCGATTTTGCACACTGATGATGTGAGTGTCTGAGTGATATAGGCCGCAGATCTTTATTAACGTCCAATACAATCTTATTTTTGGGGATGGGACATACGTTTGCTAGCTTCCACATCGCGGGTATAGCCGTTCCTCCCGGAAAGCTAAAGACGCATTCAATATCACTGTAACAATAAGTAACAGGTTCGGCAAGTAAATCTGCAAACGATTTCAACAACTCGGTAGATTATCGGGGTCACTTGATTTACCCGAACCGATACGCTGTAAATGAGACAGAAACAACAACTGGGGTATCGTTTTCAGATATAACAGCCACATTATCGTTTAAAGGAGGGTAATTAAGCATGGGTTCCAAAAACGTGTCATCAGATTACTAAGAACAATGGGATCTTGTGTATCCTGTTCTAGGTTTGCAAAAATATTATCGGCTGTTCCCATGGAAAGACCACAAAACCGTTTCACTTCCTCCACCAGTCCTTTGGTTTAGCATGCTTCATATCTTTGACCTTATTTTCATAATACAACTTGCGACACCTTTTTTCTGGAACGATTGACTTTGTTTCGTAACATTTTGTAAAGTGTTTGGTTACCTTGGGCAAAAGCTTTTTGCCTTCTATTAATAAGGGTTTTCAAGTTATTATTCATCCATGGACGATCGTTGTGGTTTGTTACTACAGCTTTCAAAGGTGTTAAGGTATTCAAAGCGTAGTTGATAACACATTAAAATAAAATATATTTAATGTGTTAAAGTAAATATAAATTATTTAAGTTTTCTTCACATGATCGGTTGGAGCTAAGATACCATAAAATCCCATGGGACTTCAGAAAGAAATTTCCCTACACGCCTTATACTACTGGGTCTTTTGTCGCGAACATAAATTACTTTTTACTCTGCGTCCCTTCGAATATTGGGAAATGCAAGGATAGTTAGGTGATCTGACAGTCCAAGCGGTGGTATACCATATGGTTTGTCGTAGAAGTCAGCAAGGTAGTGATAATATGAAGTGAATGATGTTTTTGCACTTCACTTGGCTGAACCTGAATGCTGGGTTTGGTGGATAACCCAATTGACGATTCCCCTTATTACGTTTTCGTAGCGATTTGCATTGTGGTTATAGTGGTATCACTGATAAAGATAGCGGCCTCGAATGAAAATATTGAATGTTTTCGCGAATATGTTGCTGTTGGCTATCGCGCACCTGACCCTAGCTTTTTATAAAAGTCCTTGCACGGGTCAGGACAAAAAAACCATCTTGAATATCAGTGATACTACTATAACCACAATGCAAAGCGCTACGAAAACGTAATAAGGGGAATTGTCAATTGACCACTTGCGTAATAGCGATGCCCGCTAAGCATGACGGTAGGAGGCTGTAGGTTGCTTTCGAACGAAATGGCTGTCGCATGAGCGAGGGATTTCGTTCGGGAGGAAACAACGACGGATTTTTTACTCTATTCGGCTTCGATCAATAGCAATTTTGTGTGGAAAATAACGAGGGTGTTTGGCAGTGCTCATGTAGAAAATTTAAAGAAATTCGGCTCATTAGTGGCGAACAAAATTTGTTGTGAAGACGACCAGTTTTACACACGCCTCCCCTAAATTCGCTCGCGAAAACTTGACCACATCAACCAAAACAGGTGAGTTAGCTTTTCTACTGGCGATCGGCTAAATTTTTTTGAAAAATAAGCCCAATCGTAATCTCATTAGATTTCAAGGTTATTTTAATCCTATAGCTTCAAAAATGCCATTTTTAGCTTCATGAAAATGACAAATGTTAGCCAAAATTTTGTTCGAATTTGCCATTGCCAGCCATAGCCTGACAAAATGTTTTGAAGATGTTTTGGCGCAAAAATATCTGAATTTAAATGAGTTGTTTCTAGCTGTAACAAGAAAATATAAAGTTGAAAGTGTTTTTCATCGTTTTCTGCTGTTGTTTTGTCCTCGAGCTGAAGTTTGCTTTGGTTCTTATCCTTCATTCTAGTTCGATAAAATACTCGTGAGTTAAAACATAATATTTACATATAAATTATTAATTTAAATTAGCAAAGTCTTGTATTAATAAATTTTTAACTAGCATATAAACATTAGATAGGATTATTTTAATTAAATTAATAGGAAGTCAATTTAAAATTAGGTAGATAATAACTATAGGATTAAACAACTCACATAGGGCTAAGGCTAAGCAAATAAAATATTTTAAATAATATAATGGAGGGTGAAACAAGCACTTCACATGAGGCAAACAATGCTGAAAGTACTGAGGTCACTAGAATATGGAAAAGATATTGTTGTATACCACAATGTCAGAGTAATACCAGAAAAAATCCAGAGTTATCATTTCATAAAATACCAAAAAATCCTGAAATATTAAAGAAAAAATGGGTACAATTGTTGAAAAGGAAAGGCATAAGGGACCCTGGTCCTAGTCACAGAGTATGTTCAAAGCATTTTGTGGATGGCAAAAAATCCTACGACAACACTATTCCAACAGTCTTCACCACATGCACAACCAGTAAACCAAGAAAGACCCCAGCTGTAAGAATAACAGTTGTTCCGCCTGATCTTGAAACACCATCCAATGTGGAAATACCCGAGAATGATAATAACACTGAAGATAATAACACTGAAGATAATAACACTGAAGATAATAATACTGAAGATAATAACACTGAAGATACTATCAATCAACTGAAGGACAAAATAACTCTACTTGAGACTCAGAAAACAGCTATGCAAGCAAAATTTGACAAAGATGTTGAAAATGTAAAATGTGGTTTATTTCGTATTGAAAAATTTATAAGCAGTGACAGTGACTTTAGATTCTACACTGGCTTTCCCAATTATTCATGTTTTAAAGCGTTTTACGATTACCTTTCACCAGCTTGTGAACATCTTATGTACTTTGGCACACACACCACCCCTGTAACTTCGGAATCTCAAAACAAATGTGGCAAACCAAGATCCTTGTCACCAGAACAAGAATTATTTCTTGTTCTGGTAAGGTTACGTTTGGGGTTACTTCTCCAAGATATTGCACATCGATTTAACATTTCAGCAAGTCATGTGTCTCGAATTTTTAAAACCTGGATTATTTATTTACATCACCGCCTTCGTTCCCTACCAATTTGGCCCAGTCGCATATTTATTGACGAAAACATGCCCCCCTGCTTTCAGCAAGCCTATCCAAAAACCAGAGTGATTATTGATTGCACTGAAATCTTTATTGAAATGCCCTCATCATGCAGGAGTCAGTCAATCACATTTTCTAGTTACAAGCACCACAACACTGCAAAGGGCCTGATTGGTATTTCACCCAGTGGATACCCAAGTTTTGTTTCATGTTTATATGCGGGGCGCACAAGCGACAAAAAAATTACCAACGACTGTGGCATTCTAAATCTGGTGGAGCCTGGAGATGAAATAATGGCAGATAGGGGATTTGATATCGAGGCTGATATTCCAAGCGGAGTATTGTTAAACATTCCACCATTTCTAAACAGACAGCCTCAATTATCGGCAGAAGATGAAGCTAAAACATGCAAAATCGCATCAGTCAGGGTTCATGTTGAGCGTGCAATAGCCAGGATAAAAAATTACAGAATCTTGCGCCAAGTTATTCCATTGACATTGGCTGAAAACTTAGAACAAATTTGGAGTGTTTGCTCCTATTTAACATTGTTTTTACCGCCAATAATTAAGGATAAACAATCTTAAACTGTTGGTTCTATTGTGAGCCTTGAATTATGTAGCATTTATATATCAATGCACAAATTATATCATACTATTTATTACAATTCTGGTAACATATATTCAGTATAGAAACTGCTTAGCTCTGGGACAATTTTATGCCAAAAGTCAATGTCAAAATAGATCCTCTCAATGTGTAGGTCAACATTTGTAAAAACAACAAAATCACACCAACTAACATTCAGTGTGGCCATGCACCCTTGAATTTGGTAAAAATAATTGTGTGATTTTTTTAACTGTATCTTCCCATTAAGTTTTTGTAAACAAAAGTTTTTGTCTTTGCATGCCTCATCAACAGTCATGTCTTTTTTTGAGAATGGGCATTTCACCTCCCCAATACCAAATGAGTTGGCTTCTGCACCATCGAACACTAAAAAATCAGGACTGGCACCCAACCATGGAAACCTTGAATTTACTACAAAACCACAATGTGCACACACATCAATGTTTCCTTGTTGTTTTTTCGTTTTCTTATATTCCATGATAGCCTCACACTCCTTGTCTTTTCCCCACTGGCACGGTTTTGGGCACTTAGACCGACTAGACTTAATGTTTGACATTAATGTTTTTGGGTACCTTTGCCGCCTTCGCTTAACTATTGGACCAAAATTTGAAGAGGTGAGTCGTTTTCCACTTTCCTCAAACCACCGGTCTTCAGATGATTGTTCCATAGTGTTTCGTTCAATTTCAAGTATTTCTTCATATGAGGTTTTGACAGATGATTGTAAATTTTTAATGGTTTCACATTGACATTGTGTAACAGTTTCCTCGGCTGTTGTAGGTTGTAGGTTTTTTAAAATTTTATCACGAACACTAGGGTCATTAATGTTAAGTTGCATTGAATCAGTGTATCTCTTTTTAGATGGTATATCTAGATGCATGCTTTTGAAAGGGTATGGCTCACAGTCATTTGATATTAACAAATTCCCCAAATAGCTTTGTTCATCAATATCTATCAAAGCATTAGCCAACTTTTGAACTTCAGGTTTTGTAATATTCTGTGCAAAATGTGGAATGGGGTCATGTATATTTGGGGCTTCTTGCTCGTTTTTCCTCTTTTTACCCACAACATCTTTTTCGTATGTGGCCTTTTTAAATGCCATGTTCTCGTAAAGTCATTCATCTTTCCTTGGTACATGCCATTGCTGTAGTAATTGTGTACAAGTGGGCTTATCAGGGATTTCTATCATGTCTAATTGTTTATATTCAATTACTTGAAATAGCAGAGCAACAACATGTTTGCACTGCCCACCTTTCCCTGCTGTACATGTACAGTTGCTGTGCACAACCTCCCCATTAGCTTCATTTAGATGAACATATACAGTGTACACATTGTTTTTCATAGCAGCATTTACACAGCCTTTAACTAGGAAACACGTCATGTTGCCTTTCGTGACATTTTTTTGAACCTCAACTTGCCCAACATATTTATCCTTAAACAATTGATAACCTAGTTTCTTGTGTTTTTGAGCACCAGCACCAGCATGTTCAGTTCCAAAATGCTTAGTTAGTAACTCATACGTAAATGATGGGAGGCCATGTAAGTCCCTTGTCCACCTTTTCAATTCTGTAGCAGCATTGTTTGCCTCATGTGAAGTGCTTGTTTCACCCTCCATTATATTATTTAAAATATTTTATTTGCTTAGCCTTAGCCCTATGTGAGTTGTTTAACCCTATAGTTATTATCTACCTAATTTTAAATTGACTTCCTATTAATTTAATTAAAATAATCCTATCTAATGTTTATATGCTAGCTAAAAATTTATTAATACAAGACTTTGCTAATTTAAATTAATAATTTATATGTAAATATTATGCTTTAACTCACGAGTATTTTATCGAACTAGAATGAAGGATAAGAACCAAAGCAAACTTCAGCTCGAGGACAAAACAACAGCAGAAAACGATGAAAAAGACTTTCAACTTTATATTTTCTTGTTACAGCTAGAAACAACTCATTTAAATTCAGATATTTTCGCGCCAAAACATCTTCAAAACATTTTGTCAGGCTATGGCTGGCAATGGCAAATTCGAACAAAATTTTGGCTAACATTTGTCATTTTCATGAAGCTAAAAATGGCATTTTTGAAGCTATAGGATTAAAATAACCTTGAAATCTAATGAGATTAACTATCGATTGGGCTTATTTTTCAAAAAAATTTAGCCGATCGCCAGTAGAAAAGCTAACTCACCTGTTTTGGTTGATGTGGTCAAGTTTTCGCGAGCGAATTTAGGGGAGGCGTGTGTACAACTGGTCGTCTTCACAACAAATTTTCTTCGCCACTAATGAGCCGAATTTCTTTAAATTTTCTACATGAGCACTGCCAAACACCCTCGTTATTTTCCACACACAATTGCTATTGATCGAAGCCGAATAGAGTAAAAAATCCGTCGTTGTTTCCTCCCGAACGAAATCGCTCGCTCATGCGACAGCCATTTCGTTCGAAAGCAACCTACAGCCTCCTACCGTCATGCTTAGCGGGCATATCGCTATTACGCAAGTGGTCAATTACAGCGCTCGGAAAAATATGATCGAAGCAAGAAAAATTAAATACTCGGCCAAACTATATGTGAAGCCATTCAATAAGATATTGTATTATATTGGAATTGACTGCATTGTACGTATACGACACTATTTAATTATAGCAAAATTCGATTACCGTATAATAACCTCTTTTGGCAGTCACTGTTGTTGCAGACCTTTGCACTGTTCTTACAGAATTTTTCACTGTTGTTTGAGATGAACTGCACTGAAATCAACCAATCACAGTCGAGTAACTTTTTGTGCATATTCGTATGTATATTTTTGTACTTTGAACACACTGTTTTATGCTATCTGCTTACGTTTTGTATTTTAGGAAAAACTGCCGGTCTTCTTGGATTTTGGGATGATAGCAAGGATCAAGAATTTTTATTGCCAAACGGGAGCTTTATTCACAAAAACTCAAGTTATCGAATACTTCACAATGAATTTGGCCAGAAATGTAAGGTTTAAATTTTAGTTTTGAAAAATAAAAAAGTCATGTTTGAAAATATTTTTTAGAAACATTTTTCAGATGTACTAGGAAGAAAACAAATGGAAAATTTTAATATGAATTTTTACGTGAGATTTTATAAGAGTTACAACTGAAAAATAAAAATACATGATTAACTAATTGTTTCAAAGCAAGAAATTAAAATTAAACTGATAAACGAAGTAACAGTGAAAGTGACTCGCACAAGGAGTGTGCAGATTGAATCCAGTATTCCAACTCCTATAGAGAATTGAATACGTTATCCTGAATTTTATATAGTGAATGTGTTATAACAATATCTACATGTAAAGTATGGTACATCTCACTATTCCGATGGACTATGAATTACATAAGGTTAATATACACAACGTCAACCACTTCAGAATATGTTTAAAACATTTTATATAGCTAGGTATAAAATCTTTGCGGGTTTTTACATCAAAGTTTACTAGTCTTCAAACCCAAAATGCAGAAGCTAATACGACAGATTTTAAATATGAACGATATGACTATGTTTGCAGATGGTTAGAATATTTCAAGTACTTGTTCATTTTCGTAGTCCTTTGAATCTAATCATTTGCATTTTTGATCATTTGCATTTTTGATCATTTGCAATTTTCATACTTGTTAAAAAACTCTGTCTTCTGAATTGCTCAGATCATCTTTCGCCTAATCGCCTTACATGCATGCCCTTGCTGTGGGCTTTACCTTTAAGTTTGAGCATTTTCTAATCGTCAAATGAGGATATTATTTTGTTTTGCATAAAATTTTGATCCTTTTCTTCTCAATCACAGCACTGCAACGACTCCCGATCTTAGTAGCGGCTTAGGTGATATTAGCTCCACCCATTGATGTCCACCATTTCACGTCATTATTACAATACGTACGTGCAAGTTTGATAGTACAACCTACTTTGCTGTACTTCTAACACATACAAACGAGTTTCTATATACAGCTATTTCAATTAAGGTTGTCCACGAGCAAAGCGGAAAAGTCGAATACGAGCGCGAAAGGCTGCTGGGAATCGCTAACAAATTAATGAATTTTCAAAGCGATTCCCAGCAGGCTTTCGCGCTCGTATTCGACTTTTCCGCTTTGCTCGTGGACAACCTTAATTGAAATAGCTGCATGCCAATTTCGGAAAACGAATTGTAATACCGCGGCTCGCAGGAGTACAAACCTAACTTTCCAATCACTAAACTTAATGTAGTTCTATTTTTATTGATATTTTCTTTCATATACTATTGAACTTGCGTTTGTAAATTTTCTGCAGGGATTGTTGAAAGGAACAAGACCTTGTTTACTTATCGAATTGGAGAAAGTTATGACAGTTTTCTTGATCCCAACTTTACACCAGTCTTTCTGGATGAAACAGCCTCACTTTTTTCCAATTCCACTTTCGAGCAAGAAGCAAGGAATGTTTGCGGGGAAAATCGGGAATGTTTGTTTGATATTGCTGTGACTGGAAAAACGAGGGTTGGTGAAGCAACGTTGGAATCTTTCAATGAACTAGAGCAGAGAACAAATAACTCAAAAATTGGTAAGCTGGTTGAACAATTATAAACTACTGTAGTTACCATTATGTTTAAAATGTAGATTTCGTATATTATTTGTAGGATGGCCAGAAATCATGGACATGATTTATAATTCGTCTTTTTCAGTAATTTGCATATCACATTGAAAAATGGCTTCAACAGCAAACAGAAAATTATATAACACGCGAACGTTGTTAATTGAAAAAGCAGTGAATAAAGTAGGTCGTTAAGTTTAGAGCTTGCTTCGATCGCTGGTTGCAAAACAAAGTTTGTCGAAGACTAGAAGTACTAGTTTGTTGGTCTCATGATTTCCGATAATGCCTATTCTGCAATTTTAATATTTGTACGGAGGTTAATTAATTTGTACGACATTGGTTGGTTTAACTCTATATAAATGTAACACAAAGTAGGAAATAATGTAAACCAGGCAAACACCACACTAAATATTTCCACAGACTTAATTTGGTCGGCAACCAGCAATTGAGGCAAAGGGTTATCGATAGTTTGTAAATTAATAGGGAGGTAGCATGCATAACATGCGCATGTCCATGATTTCTGGCCTAAAAGTGTGTAAGTGTATAATAAGAGTTATACAAACAAAGATATGTCGAGCACCGTATATGCAGACTAAGTACTTTATTTGAAATTTCCAGTTGCCGATCCCATTTACTTTGGTTGTGACGGTGTTGAGAACAGTGCTAAGAAAACAGATTTTTGCGGTGTTTGTGGAGGTGATAACTCAACATGCACAGATTGTGAAGGTCAGATCAAACCTGGTTTTCTTAAAAATGGAACATGCGGTAAGTTTCTAGATATGTTTATTGTTCAATACTTCAGAATGATGAGACTTCGTGCCTAATACTAATTAAAATATGATACATGTACATAATTAAATTATATGCAATCTCTTATTTGCCCAACATTAATAAAAACCTTCAACGAAATTTTCTATATGTGTGCATTTGGCATATTTTCAATATTTAAGACATTTTGTTTTACAATACGTATATTTTCTGATGTCAAGCTACAGTTTGCCATAAAATTATCCTGCATCGTATATACTGTAGATTATGATATCAGCATAGAGACATAGGTGCCTTGCTAATTAACCATATGCAAACTGTCAGCCGACTTTAAATTAAATTAAGCTACGTAATGATTGGGAAGCATATAATAATAATTGCCTTAACCTTTACACATGATCGCACTGTTCCCTATAATTTACACTGCATATAGAAAAATTGACAAGTTATTTTAAATAAGTTTTATTTGTGATTTAGCAATATTATATATTGTGTCACGAATTATCCAAACCTGTAGGTTTCTATCATCCGTGGACCCGGTGGAATGCTTGCTTTAGGAGTGGTAATAAAGAAATAAAAACAAGAAATCGAACCTGCTCAACCAAAGACCAATGTCGTCATTTAGGTGAAAATGTACAGCATGAGGAGTGCAAGCGTGCTGTTGACGACGATGATGATGGTAGGTATAAAACATCAGTTACGAAAAGAAAAGATTCCGTTTGACCATGCATCCTAAGCCTCAATCCGTCTCGATTATTTGAGGGTTTTCGTTGGATTGTCCTACAAGTGCAAGTCATGCCATTGCATGACATTTAAAATCCTCAAAAGCAAAACTGTCTAGCATGCCATTTTCAGTTGAGAAATTCATTTAATTCTGACTTATGGCCAGTCTATACCATTACTTGCTGCGATTTCAATCAAGGCCGAATTTTTTTATGCTGATCGTGATGACTATGGCTATATGAAATCGCCAGACATATAAACACCTGCGATTTATCTGCAATTTTAGTGCAACTTCACTGCGCCAAATTGTAAACATTTCAATCTTGCTTGAAATTTATCAAAACTCGCTGCGTTTGTTTTTTTAAAATGCAATTAAAATACGACTGTTACTCCTAAACTATCATATTTAATCATAGTAAATATTATAAAAAAGGCTGAACTGAAAGGGATAGCAGATAATCTTCAAAAGCAATTTGCGTAAATGAATTGCATGGCTGAACAACTAGAATTCATTTTATTTCAAGGACTAGTAAGTTGAACAGTTTACCGGCAAATAGTAATTCATTTACAAAGCTCAGTGGAATTGCATTCACCGATTCACGTCCCAACGTTTCGACACTCCAGTCTAGTGTTTTCATCTGACACTAGATTGGAGTGTGAAACGTTGCATGCAATTCGACTGAGCTTTGCATTAATTTATAAAAAATAGAATATAAATTTCTTGCTTGCCCTGAACACACAAACTTTAAATAATTAAATTCATGCTTTTATTTTTTATTTTCCGTTTTTGTATAGATGACAGCAAAACTGTGGAGTTTTATCTTTCTGTTGTTGGACTGCCTGTTCTTGTTTTACTGCTGATTATTGTGGCTATTTCTTTGTGTTGTTACTTCGTGCGCAAGAAAAATAAATCTGAAGCTGCTGGCAAACCTCATTCCACTACTCATGTTAACAACGCATATGTCATAAGTTAGGCAGGTTGTAGCCTATGAACTGCGTCTGTCAAGACGGTACGGCGTGCGGGATAATATTTTTTTAGTGTTGTAATAGGACATCATACCACTGGTAAAAATTTGTGAAATCTATGCTATGAAATTTGCAATTGCACCAATAAATCCATATATAGTATATCCATACTATATCGATATACTATATCCATAGTATGGAAATATACCATTATTATGGATAATCTAAATACATTCTATTTCCAATGAAGTTCCATACAATTTCCATTCTATGACCTTCTATGGATTTTTAATTTTTCTCCAGTGTACTAGATATAAAGGAAACAGTTACTGTCATTATAAAGGGAAATGTAATGCAATGTGTTTGTCTGATAAAAGTAATTTCGTAACCGTGCACAATCATTCAATTTAGTTGCACATTTATTGTATAGAACGCCAATAAAGTTTTCATTTATAATAATTTTTAATCTATATTTCAGCTGCATGACATTATTCGGGGCACTCCGATGCAAGGAATGTACCGAATAATTCGGTACACAAACCTTGCAAGGTTATTTAACTCTTTCTCGTTTGTGTAATGTTTCGACAGCAATTGGCTCCCCGTTCGAAAGGTTATTTTGTGAGGATTTCAATGGTGGGTTTTGTTTTAAAGGGGGGTAAATACTCGCCGAGATATTTACATTAGAAACATTGACTCGTAATAGATAGATAGCTAGATAGATAGATAGATAGATAGATAGATAGATAGATAGATAGATAGATAGATAGATAGATAGATAGATAGATAGATAGATAGATAGATAGATAGATAGATAGATAGATAGATTGATTTAATAAGAAAACACATTGCAGCCGAGTACGACTGGATTGCGTGTTACTTTACAACAATGGTAATTATAAGAATAAAGTTTATCTAAAAAATGTATATAAAAGAACGTTACAAATATATTAAAGTGTGTAACTCAGTATATAAATTATGTATTTACAAAGTTAAAACTACGAATATTAGGCTTAAGAGAATTCTTTAATACAAGAAGGAATAAATGTTTTTAAAAATCTATTAGTTTTAATCACTGGTGTTTGGAAGACACGTATACTACGCAAGTCATTGGTGATAGGTGGACGTGCAGGAAACAAATTCGACAGCTTGTGTGCAGGGTCCTTAGTTATCTGATTGTATAGTTTGGAGCAGGCATGCCTTCGACGATCGCTTAAGAGTGTCAAGTTAGCTTTTCCCAAACGCTCGCTGTAAGACAAACCGGGAAAGTTTATGGATGTACTCTTCTCTGGACTCGTTCTATGTTATCACTGAGATACTTGGGTAGAGCAAAGTGAAATACCTCACAAGCGTATTCCAGAACCGGTCTGACACAGCAACAATAAAAGTTTAGAATTTCTTTTGCTGGTATTTTAGCTCGTTTTAATTGGACTATGAAGAAGATTCTCTTGTTGGCTTTCTTTATTATGTTTAGGACATGCGTAGACCATCTTAAATCATCACTAACCGTAACACCTAGAATTTTAGCTCGGCGAACCAGGTTTGGACACCCCGCAAGAAGATGGATATTATCAAAGGATACTCTATTTCTGTGGAATTGAAACAAAAGCTCTTTGCATTTTTGGACATTCAATTGGAATTTGTTCTGCGAGTTCCACATTTCAAGTTCGTTAGCTCCACTTTGGATTTGGCTGGTTCCGTTTCTTGGGATAGTTTCCGAGACTGTTGTATCATCGATGTATTTCCAGTGGGTGATGTCCATAAGCTTCAGATCGTTTATCATGAGAATAAACAACCAAGGTCCCAACTTTGTGCCCTGTGGGACGCCACTAGGGACATTACCCCACTCAGAAACACAGTCCCTTGCAAGTTTCACGCGTTGTTTCCGACCACACAAAAAGCTAATAAGCCAATTTGTGATATAGATTGGGATGGGCAGTTGGCGAATTTTGTTGATCAAGATTGAGTGATCAATAAGATCAAAAGCCTTCCTGTAATCGACCAGAAGGACTCGCACGGAATTTCCAGTACCATCGGTTGCTTTAGCCCAGTTGTGCAACATACTAATAAGGGCAATAGTTGAAGATGACCTTGGTATTCCTCCGAACTGGTGAGAGTCGATGCATTTCAGGATGGCAGGGGCGACAAACTTTTCAATGACAAATTCTTCAGCCAGTTTTGAGAGACAGACAAGTAAGAGATATAGGTCTTAAGTGTTTATTAATGTCGCATACAACCTTTTCCTTTGGAATTGGGATAATGTTCGCCAACTTCCATAAGCTTGGTAATAATTGATGGCGGAGTGAACAGTTGATCAAGCTAGAGATTGGGCATGCCAAAATCTCGGCATATTCCTTGTAGACAAAATTCGGAACTTCATCAGGACCTGGTGCTTTAGAGGTACTTAGTAATTTAAGTTTATTATATGTTTCCCACGATGTGGTGATGTCAAGAGGTTGATCAGACATACTATTGATTTGGTCGTCATTAGGGTTGAGAGGATCAAATTCCTGCATGGGTTCTAGAAAGGCGTTGTTAATAGCATTAGCCAAATCGGCCAAGGGCAGGTGTTCTAAGTTTTCTGATTGGATACAATCCTGGGGGCTTGAATGTGAAACCATTCCACTAATGCGTTTTACTTCGCGCCACCAGTGTTTCGGGTTAGATTGTTTTAAATTATCTACTTTTGTCTTATAATAATTAGCCTTGCAAGTTTTCCTTTTCCTATTAACCCTATTTCGATAGAATTTGAAGAGGGTGTCATTCCCGAAGAAAAAGGCACGCTGTCGAAGTTGTATGAGACGACGCAGATCCTCGTTGATCCACGGGTGGTCATTGGAATGAACCAAAAGGCGTTTTTCAGGCAATATATAGAATAATCCAAAGGATAGCATATCGGTGAACAGTTGGTTTTTCACCTCAACGGATTTGGGTGAGTCGAGGAAAGACCAGTCAATTTCGCTTAAATACCGCCCAAACATAGCTTTGCGTGAAGGTCTCATATCACGTTTATAGACGACTTTCTTCTGGTTAGACTTAGGGTCTCGGAGTTTAGGAGAGACAGCAATTACAGAATGATCAGAAAGGCCGAAGGGCGGAAATGCGATGATGGAGTCCGATAGATAGAAAGGATCTAGGTTTGTGAGCACTAGGTCAAGTGTATTGCCCCCTCTTGTTGGTATCTTCACAAGTTGTTTTAAACCAAAATTTATGCGTAACTGTTTTATATCTAAGCGATTAAAGTCACCAGCCAAAATTAAACCACAACCAGGATAGAGACTCTCAACCCGGGTCAGTGATGCAATTAGGTACTCCAAGATTTCATTATCGTCTGAAGACGGGGGGTGGTAGATAGTAGCAGTAACTATGCACGAAACACCTCTGGGTAACCTGGCCGGCCGTACATAAACCCACATAACTTCCAAATTCGGACATTCCAAGTTATATAAACGGAATGTTTTATATTTCGAATTGGAAAACAAACAGACGCCCCCATGAATTCCAATTCGACGATCCAACCGTTCGAGGTTGTAGCCAGGGAGGATAAGTTGATCATCCCCAACATTACTTTTTAGCCACGTTTCAGAAATGAAGAATAAACCAATACTATGAGTTTCAGTAAAAACACGAATTTCGTCAATTTTCGGAAGAAGTGACATGACGTTAGTTAATACAATATTAGGAACAAATTCCCGAGATCTGGATTGGTTCTTTAACATGGTGCTGGAATGAGTATTTTGTTTATAATCTATTTGTTCTCATATACATTATTTTCTCGTGTTTGGATATCCTGATATGTCGTTGTTCAAACATTACATATCCGCACCTTTGAACTAGCCAAAACCCAAAAGATCGCCGAAATGTTTGTAACAAACTTAAAAATAGGTACGCTAAGCGTACATGTATCTGCTCATGGTCACCACGCTGTTGTCCATACAGAACTAATCAGGGGCGTGGGGCGGGGGAGGGAGGGGTAACTCCCTCAGTTAATTTTTTATTGCCATATTGTGAAATTTATTAACAACGTTTTGACATGACTACAATTCTAAGATACTCATTGTAGCAACATCGCAACATTAATTTGACCTGAGTACATGCAATCATCATCTCACAATTTACCATATAGATATTTTTCTGCTTTGCCAGTGAAATAAATGAACAAAGTAAAACAACCAGGCTGTGCAATAGGATACAAGATGGTTAAACTGCTTGTGTCATAACTGCATGGTTCCTTATATATATATGTGCGCATGTTTGCAGAACATACTGTACCATATTTAACTAAAATGTTATAAAATGTCTTTATTTAACGTGGTAACAACAAAATTCCAAGATTATTGACATCATTCATCTGAAGTGGTTAAACTGCGACGTTTGAACTGCGAAATTTGTAAAATATGACATGACTAACTGAAAATCTGACACTGTACGATTTGGTTTGGTATATGCTCGTAATTGAATATAAACCAGAGTTTCAATTCAGAAAAAGTCCGAAAAATGCTGAATTTCGACAACTTTTAAATCTGAGGGTCCTCCTTTGTTATGAGCAGAACCGATGCGCAGAACGGACTTGACTGCCACTTTAATACTTTTATCTTACATGTGTGTCTCTTACAGTGTACTTCCTCAAGCAGTTATGACTACCAATACAAGTACTAAACAAAAAGGAACGCTTTTGTATGATTATGTGGCAGCTCCACAAAGTACGTGTATATTTTTGTACGTGCTCCTTAAGTTTGCACTAGAGGGTGTATCAAGAATAGGTAATCCAACTTTGGCATGTCATTGTGCGTCAATTACTTGGGTGTATTAACGTAATATTTGCATGGTTGAATGACGAGTTTTTGTGCCATTTTGAGCAAAACAGAGCAAGTATGAGCCTGATGAAATTGCCGGTCGAAATCGCACACTTTCACCGTTGGAAATTGAGGCTAAACTTATTGAAAATTTACTCCCTCTGGGACTCGAAGATGACGAACTTCACTTCCATAAACGTCCTGAATATGCATAATTATTAATATTGCCTGGTAAAATCTTGTTAACCCTGCTGTAAGCTCTTTGTTACCATGAGACATTCGTAATTAATTGCGTTTTCTTTTGTTATCCACTGCTTTAATTAGGTACAGAGGGGATTTTGACCGACATTTTTTATCGTTCTCATTCGAGTAATTACGGTACCTTTTCTTGATACACCCTGTAGTGCACAAATTTGTTTCCTTATATTAGTTTCTTATAAAATGTTCTTTAATATCATTGTACTCAAGTTTACCCAATTCTGATTGGATAAATTTTTTTCCTAACTTGCACAATTTTTTCCTAAATTGCACAGGTATGCAATTAATTGTTAATTGTGCGGTTCCCGCGCCGGCGGAAATTTATGGTCACCGGAATACGTCATGTAAAGTTTTGTTTTGATAAAGTTTTTGTCTACATTTAATAATGAACAATTGATGTCAATTTTTTATTTGAAATGAACGGGAATTGTTCGCTCCATTAAACGAAAATCATTTTAAAATTGGTAAAGGAACTGGGGTGAGTTCAAGACTCGTTTGATGAGAGGTTTCCTCAACTACCAAAAGTTGGCATGGTAGAAAAGACGGAGCACGAAGTCTGTATAAAAAAGCTTAGCGGTGATACCTAAACCGACTCCGTCTTTTCCCATCTATGAGGCATAAAGTGTTCATTACAGCTTAGCGGTCGAGCTCCAGACCCAATTAGATCGTATCCTTCATCATCCTTCATCATCACCTCGAAAACTCCAAAACATTTTTGGGATTTGTGGGGTATTAATGGACTTTGCCGCCATTGCCCAACTAAGAAACCAGTGCCAGAGTGGCACTGGATTCGTGACTGTCAATGTGCATATAGTGCATATGCTCCATCATATTGTTTGTTTTGAGAAAATTAAGTGCATTGTGCAAGATGCAATTAATGAAATATCAATTGCACTTCACACGAACAAATCAGAATGTAGTTAAATTTGTCATACAGTTGTGTGCGCATCTTCGCTTTAACCACACGCGCATATTCACAGGTTTGACGCCTTTGACCTGAGTGTTATACAATACAAAACATTGATTTCGCACCTGTTGCTTTTTGCAGATTTCCAGAAAACGTTTGAAGAATGGATATGCCGTGATAGGTTCTATTTGCAAGCTACTCAGGAAGGTACTGAATGTAGAATTACGTTATTGACTCTATTTATTCAAAAGAACGACCAAGTTTTCTTGGACAATTGTTTCTTGACATAGAGCTTTAATTACTTCCTCGTCGTTTCTCACAGCAAATTTTCAAACTTCTCAAATTCATTAATAATTCATGAGCAAATAGACTAATCATATAGCAGTATTTTGTCACGTGTATTAGCGTGGAAATCCCGGTAAACAACTAAATTTTGATTGAATTAGTCTTTTAAACAGAAGTAAAAATATATGATTTCGACCGACAATTTTTATCGTTCTCATATGTGTTCTGTTTTTGCTCAAAATGACCCAAAAAAAACATGTCATTCAACAGCTGAAACCCCCAAAATTACGTTTATACGCCCAGTAACTAATGCCCAATGACATGCCAAAGTTGGATTATTAGAAATTAAATAGTATTCAATTAAAGATTCGAAATGGACGTCAGGTCAACTTGCGTCTAAATTGCGCTTGGCCGTACAGTGCATCTTAATGACTTACTAGGCAGCTTCATGTCTAGTTTTCCTTGATGTCCACACAAACAAACTAAGTTTTTCGTGCTTTAAAGCTGTCATAACTAAGTTTAGAACAAGGTTCCTGTGAAGAAAACCTATCATTTTGCGTCGTACGAATGCGCAAATAAAGCCCATAGTTGTTTGCTGCCAGCATTCAGTCCGTTAGGATTCCTGGTCTTTTTACGTCAGGTTTTCCTCGCTATTTCTTCTTTTAAATAGTATTTATTAATGAACACATTGAATATATTAGTGCTGAAAAATTTAATTTGTTGACATAATTAGCAGAAGTTAATTGTTTTATGTTGTGGCCTAACTACATTAGTAGCAGAAGAGTAACCATGTTAGATCGTTTTAAATTGTAGGTTTTCATGATATTTTTGATGCCCAAACTACGAATCAAGAAGACCAGAATGAGAAGGTTGGTACAAACTATCTCGTACAGTACTTAGAGCAGGGGAGAGGGGCGGGAGGGCGGAAGGTAAAGGTTGTCAAAATAGTTGGGCAACATGCAAGAGTTAGTGCTCAATTGGTACTCTTTTCCCAGAAAACCTATCCTCCCCTCTCCACCCCTTTAGATGTTGCTTTTAGTAGCAATATATAAAGGATAGGATTTCAAGACCTCACTGCATCTAACAATACATATGTAACAAGTCAACATTGCATGGGGCTGCGGGAGGGGAGTGTCAATCGAGAGGTGTTGTCAGCAGAGTCTTCCCGTGTTTGAAGCCGCTTAATTCAACTGGTATATTTATGTTAAATTCAGCGCTATGAATAACAAAGAAAACCGTACCGTGTCAATCATGTGATAATTATATTTGAATTCTGATATTGTGTTTATGACTAACGTGTTTTGAAGTTAGTATTGTTTGTAATGTTGTTAAACTGGGTTTTTTTTATAAATTTAACGTTGTCTTAAATAGTTACCACTTGGAAGCTTAGTGGAAATAGCTAAAGAAGCCTTGAAGAACGGAGAATTAAAGACTGCAGAAAAAGTCCTCCATAGTGCGATAAAGAAGGAAATATTGGAGAGCGCAGACAGTAAAATAAATGTTGAATCCTATCGTTATCTGGCTGAAGTGATCCAGGAAAAAGCTACGCAAGATGACTTGGAATTACCGACAAGACAAAGATATTTACTACAAGCGGCTGCCTTGTTGAACTTCGTGAAAAACCTTATGAGGAATGGTGACACTGAAAATGAACTATCAAAAAAAATGCTGACAACGGTCTCTCAAAAACTGCAAGAAATTCAAGACAACTTGATACTTTCTGTCGGTGGGAACTTGCCATGCTACAAATTTAATTCGGAAAGTTACAAGAAGAGCCTGGACTCCTTGCGAAACGTAGCAAGTAGTCGCTTGAATGCTATACATGATAGGTATGTGAGCGAGAGGGACAGCGAAGAAGACCACAGAGAAATGTATGTGAAACAAGCAGAAGAGATAAGGGTTTTGTTTAAAACGATCGCCTCCGAAATGAAATTGCTGTTCTCTGATATCATCAAGGATTGTATGGCAGTCATTGGCAAGCCACCGTGCAACTATGAAATCATTGTCCTTGGATCCCTGGCGCGTGAAGAAATGACACCGTATTCTGATTTAGAGTGGGCTATACTGACTAGCTCAGAGGAGGAGAGATGCAAAACATTTTTTCGTAACTTAACTAACCTTGTCCATCTACAGGTGATCAATCTCGGAGAGACTATTCTACCAAGTATGGACATCAAAGCTCTGACCGGGGGTTGGTTCTATGACGAAGTAACTCCACGGGGGGTTTCGTTCGACGGATTTTTGCCGCAAGCTTGTAAGACTCCCCTTGGAAATGTGACAGACTTTGAGCTAATCCACAATCCTACTAGCATGGCAGCATTTCAAAACAAGAACTGGCGGGAGAGAAATCCGGGATTGGGAGAAATTCTGCAGACTGTTGCACCACTGAAAGACAATGGGAATCACCAGTTGCTGAACGAGTATCGACAAGATTTGCGACAATTTCTTCACGGTTCCTGCGATTCAAACGAATGTGATCATGATTCTTCAGACAGCAAATGCCCCACTCGAAATGAGTGCAGAGGTTTGAAGACCGTCAAGCAAGACGTCTTTAAATATAGTAGATTCTACCTGAACACCGAACGACAAAATGATGGGAAACTATACGATGTTAAGCAAGAGATTTATCGCGTAACAGACCGGGTCATCGTGGGACTGGGAAAATGTGTCGGGATCGAAAAAAATGGAGCGTTTGATATTCTTGACGAGTTGCGCGAGAAAGGAAAGATAGAGGCAAATGCAAGGGATAATCTGGCGAGTGCTGTTGCGATCGCTCTTAAACTACGTTTGGCCACGTATCTCAAGGCTGGAAAACAAGCCGAGGATGTAAAGTCTATCCCAACAGATGAAACCTATCCACAGGTTGCCGCACACGTTTATCGGCTGCCAAACAAGACGGAACTTTTCCATTTCTACTACGTCGTTGTTCCTCTGTGCAAAGAAATGAAAATGTTTTGTAACAATGGCGCCGAACACTCGGTTTGGTTCTCAGAGAAAGAGTTTTTTGAGTACTCCGACGTCATCAAAGCCAACATTTATTCTCGGATTCTGGACTACCCTAAAGCCCACGAGTGCTACGAGCGGGCCCTCGAGAAGGACCCACGCAACATGGAGTTAAAATTTTGTTGTCTCAGCTTGGAGTTAATGACTAAGGACAATAAGGATGGAGGGTTATTGTTGAAACGTAAACTTGTTGCTCTACTACAACAGTTGGGCAAGACGTACAATTTTCCAGAAGTAAACTGGGTAGATAACAATGAAGGCGTTTCAGAGATAGATTATTGTCGTAATTTTGCCGATACTAACTTGCCGTTAGCGAGTATTCCCCCGTTAATTCACATCCTCAGTATGTTATCTTCAGTCCATGAGACGCAGCTAGGGAATTTCAAGACAGCACAGTTGTTACTTCAACAGTGCGCAAAACTGCAGAACTTGCTAGGTCTCGATTCTTCAGACGTTCATGTGTTAAGGATCAGATTGAAAATTCTTGGTCTGGCGTGTACGTGTTGGACGCAGAGTGCAGCTAATGATTTGGAGTCCGTGATTTCGAAATTGACCATTTTTATCAAACGTGAGGGCATAAATATCAGAGCGTTTCTCTTGCTCACCGAACTTGGCTCTGTTTTGAAAACTCGAAGTAAATATAGCGAGGCGTATCAGTGTTTGCAGCGAGCGTTTTCAATGGGTCGTCTCCTGTACGGCGTGAATCTGAATTTTTACGTTGTCCATACTTTGCTAATGCTAGGAAATGTTTGTGAGAAATTGGCACTTTACGAGGAAGGCAAAATGTATTTGAAACAGTCCCGACCATTCTTGCTGTCGCTAAAAGGCAGACTTTCAGTAGTTCTCATTAGGAGTATTAATGTTACCTTGGCAAGAATTTGTAATAAGTCCAGTCATCCGGAGGAGGCTATAACGTACGTTACCGAATCCCTAGCATTAACACCTAGTGTAACAACCGCATCATGGACAGATATTATGATTGATTGCCAGATGTACTGTGAAGCTGCTTCTGCTTGGCACGATTTAGGTGCTGAAGAGAAAGCCTGGCGTGCGGCTTTAAGTGCCAGAGACAGTTTGTTACGTGTCACGAACCTGGGTACCCGAATGGTCCTAAGAGGCAGCATTGCCACAACCTACGTAAAGCTTGGTAAGAACAAGGAAGCGGTAGAACTAATGAAACAAGGCGTGAACGAGTTGCCTTTGGATTTCGATGATTTAGTAATCGTACAATGTTTGAACGTCTTCGGAGGGTTATTGAGGAAACAAGGGTTATTGAAAGAAGCTAAGGATTGTTACCAAAGAGCACTAGAGATGAAAGAAGTCAAGGATGTTGACAGCTTTGACGTTATTAACAGCCTTTTGGGGATTGCGAACGTTCATCTGGAAAACGGCGAATTGTCAGAGGCGATGAATTTTGCAGATCAGTCATGGAAAGCCGTTTTAACAATGGAACCTAGCCACGATAAGTGTCGATTTCTTGGAGAAGTCGCTGCGTGTTGGCGAACTTTGGGAAAGCCTTGTAAAGCCAAGATGTGTTTAGAGCAAGCACTTGAGATTTACAGAAGATCGGTTGTTTCTCAAAAAATGCCCAACGTCGAGTATGACTTTCATGTTAGACTGGCCGACTTGGTCGAGGCCATTGCAACGGTGGGAGACGATAACGGGGCGAAGTTAACCGAAGAACAAGTGGGAACAGCGAAACGATTTCACTACAGCCAAGCCGCGGAACTTTTAAGACGACATTTAGAGTCAGGCAATTTCAACTCGTGGACTGTTGCTTTATTCGCATCACTGGCCGAGAAATTCCGTGCTATCGGCGATATATCAGAGGAAGAAAAACTTCTGGTCGAAGGTCTTAGGATGAGCGAAGAGGTTTACAATTATGGAGCGGCTAACGAGATGTTTGCGTTAATACTAAGGCGTTTGTCTAATGTTTGCTTGGAAACAGCGAATTACGAGAAGGCTTTGGAGTACTTGGTCCGCTCCCTTAAGATGGAATTGAAAATACATTCGTCCAACCCACACCATGCTCACATCCTCTCTGGTATGTTCAGTTTGGCCGTTATTTACAGGAAAAATCCCGCGATTAGCGATCCTGTGAACGATCTTGAAAACAGTCCAGGGCACACTACGGAAGACGGACCGTGCGACGACGAAATTGAGAAGGCAACCTGTTTTGCTACAAAGGCCAGTTTGCATTTTTGCTTCGGCGATTTTGAAGGCGTGGAGAAGTTTAGCCGAATGGCGAGTGATATTTACAGGAGACTTGGGGACCACACTGTGTGCTACAAGAGCATGAAGTCGGTCAGGGAACGATGTGAGCTAATGCTAAAGCTTGCGCAACTCGCAAAGCAGAATCCGAATGAAATGCTGAATTCTTCGGGTTGGCTTCAGACAGTGTTTCGGAACATTAGAACCAAGGGTTCGACATTGTTGACATTTGCAATAGTTCCTGTCTTTCAATCCACAGGGGATGGAACGGTGACCGATATCAACCAATCAGGAGACCTCGCAATAACAAACACATCGGACGGTGGTAACGACGATACTCCAAGGCCACCAGCACAAGCTTACCCGTACTTATCTAGTTTAGTCAACCAGGAAAGCGAGAAGACAATACCTACACATGATTACCGACATGACAAACTGACTTCGATTGGAGTCCCAATTACAGCATTTGAAGATAATATGCCAGAAGGTGCCATTGCCCGAGACGAACTGATCTTAGATGATGATAACGATGAGATAGTGTTTCCAGAGACAGGCGAGGTACTTGCTGTAAGCGATTTGGGGAGATTCCTCGAGTTACTAGGCTTAGCAGATGAATCAAAATCCACCAGCGAAGTCGATAACGACGGAATTCAAACCCTGAGGAATTTGGATGATTCTGACACTTTATTAATGTCAGACTACGCGAATTTTTTAAATGACCCTGTCCAAGAATTCCTCAACAATGCGTTTATGGCAAAAGAAAACAACGAGATGGCGTTAATGTCGACGTACCTAAATATGGCTGCAAAATATAAGTCGAGCCCGAGACAAGAAGCACTTATTTCCAAGCTCCTGGGACAGTGCAATGTTGCTTTGCATAAATACAAACTAGCAGCTATTGACTTCGGGAAGGCAGCAGCTTTCTACAGATCATTAAACCTAGCAGCTGACACAGACGACTTGTGTGAATTCATGGATAGCTTGCGTGGTCTGACAGAGAGCCATCTGCTTTGCAATGATGTGGAGAGCGCCTGGTGCACATGTGAAGAAGCCTTGTCCTTGAAGTCTGTGGTAATATCTGGAACACCCACTTTCTACCACCTTATTTCTATGTACTATTTGGCTGCGAAGTGTTCAACTGCTCTTATTGCGCGCGGACTCACACACGAGCACGACATGCAAACCGTCGTTTCGTTTTGTAAAGAAGCTTTGTCAGCGAGCGAGGAAGCGGAACTCGTTGTGGGCTCAAACGACGCCAATCAAGAACTTAATGGTAGCTGTGCCAGAGAAGATCTCTTCCCGTTGAAATGTGAAGTCACTCTACTCTTGGCAAGAACTCTTTCTGAGTTCAATTTGGAAGAAGAAGCACGATCAATTCTCGTAGAGATGGTTCAACGTCTTAGAAATCTTGTCGCTGTCTTCGAAGCTTTCTCCAGCGACACGTGGCCAGAAGGCGACAATAAGTTTTGGAATCTCCAAATCAATCTGTTTTCTTGGATTGGACAAGCGTTGCTGCTGTTAGGCGAAGTAGATGATGCAACAGACGGCCTGAAGAAATCTTTGGCAGCGTTATTCGTTCTTCAGTCCATGAACGTGAAACTTTATGTGGAAAATCTCTTAAGCTTGTTAGATGCAATCACCGCTAGGAATATCGTTGAGACTAACTCATTTCAACAAACTCTCGAATTTTGTAAACGTCTGTATATGGAGCAACACGATTCTTTGGAGAAACTCGTCGAATTCTTTGCCGACGTTGGTAATCTTTACGTGGATAGAGGGAGGACACAAGAGGCCGTCAGTGCATTCGAAATAGGCTTAGCAGTCGCAGAGTCCATGCATGGTGGAGAAGTACAAAAAAGTTGTGAACTGTTACTGCTGTACTTGGGTATGACTCACGCACTTCAAGCGACTTTGAATGTAGCCAAAAGCGAGCGCGAAGAACTTCTTTTGGCTGAGAAGTATTTCCGAATGGGACAGGAGCTCGAAGACAGCGGGGTTACCATGGATCTCTTGTATGCACAGTTTCTCATTGCACAAGAACGATTTGATGAAGCGATCCCGTTGCTGGAGCGGGTAATACAGCTTGACGACTGTCTATGGGATGACCATATTGCCGTTCCGTATTACCAACGACGACTTTACGGCCCGAGTGTTTGCAAGTACGTTGAACTGCACGGGGAATTGCTGACGTTCAGCAGGAATTTAGGCTACAGTTTTCTCGTTCGAGCTTACGTGGACAGGGGAATGCGAAAACAAGCTGTTAGGTTTTGTGAAGAATTCGCTGTTAACGGTAGAGATGAGGAAAACTCTTATGAGAACAGACCACCTGCTGTGTCGTTCCTGCTTGGTTGTGCTCAGAGAAGTTTACTATCTTTGGTTGACGGACAAATCCATTTGCAATTGGTCGAGTCGGATGTTCCACTAACAGCAGAAAACCTAGCGGAGCTGTACTACGCGCTAGAGGAATACGATCTAGCGTTAAGATATAGCAACAAGGCCAGGGAATTATTGGTATTGCTGCCGAAGGAAGATGTGGATTCAGTAGAGTACGATCACCGCCACCTGTCGCTGTTGCGTACTGGAGGAAATTCCCTGATAATGCTGGAAAGGGTAAACGAAGCGTATTCTTACTTCGCTACTTTCTTAATGCTTCTTCAAAGTCAAGTAAATGTTCTCGAAAAACCATTTGAAGAAGCGCAGGCCATTCTTCGCCATTACTCATTCGCCCACGAGTTCTGTGTTTACCGAGCACTAGGAATGCTGCTGGTCAGGCGCGGTAACATTGATGGTGCACTTAAGGTTTATGAACACTGCATAGATGTGGATAAAGAGTATAGTTTAGACCCGAGTTTGGTAGGAACTTTATCTGAACTTTATCAAACCAAGGCATTTACTACAGCCAAGAATGATAAGGTCGAACACAAGGCTTGGATGATGAAAGCGCAGGAATGTTTTGAGGCGTTTTTCAGGAGCAACAAGAAACCTACTCCATTTCTGGAGGCAGCGTTTGCTTCGTTTCTCTATCGTATCCATCGTACCGAGGAGGCCGTACATCATTTCCAGAATAGTATCACAGATGGAAGTGCGGACGAGGTTACGATCTCCTTCTCCCATGAGGACAAGTGTTTATTAAGTACGCACCTTCAGCAAGAAATTGAGGTCACGGGACAAATTTTTTTACCAAACAAAGTTTACGTACTTTATCAAATGGTGTCGGCATATTTCAAGTTGGGAAAAACAGACGAACTTCAAGTAACAGTAAAACGAATGGAAGAGTATGTCGCCAGCAAGAGGACGAGTCCATTGTTTCCCCTATGCCTGGCCGTTCTGGGATATGCGTACAAAGAGACTGGAAACGAATCCAAAGCAGCAGAAGCATTTAACGTCGTGTTACAATTGATGCCGGGTCACCGACCTGTGAAGAACGCGTTGGAGAGCTGTAAATTGTATGAAAAAAAAGAGTTGCTTACCGATCAAGCGTTGTGAGGAGGATGTCAATTCCTGAACAGATGAGATTTGGTTTAACTTCGACAACTCATGTAAATATAGTTACAAGAACTTTCAAAATTACGCGACCTCCCTGAAAAATACTCTTACTTCAAATGTCAGTTTTATGTCACAAAAACTGCTAAAAATAACAAACGTAAACAAATTTCAAAAGACATTTTAAACCGTCTTTAACAAAACTGAACAAAAATGAGTTAACTTAAGCTCCGTTTACGCTACGCTCAATTTTTGGTACGGCACGGATAAAATTGGTACCCGTACCAAAAATTGAGCGTAGTGTAAACGGGACTTTAGATATACAAACTAAAGCACAATACAAACCATCACAACAGACATATGTGCCGTGAATAACTTTTAAAGTTTGAAAAATAACAATTTATCCTGGAATTTAGCTGTCAGTATAAAACACGCGCGCTAGACTATAGCGGTGATGTTATGATTTTGTTTGTGCTTAAATTTTGCAATAATTCTCACTAAAATATATTGAAAATCATTGTAAGCCTGTTTATATAAAGCATACAAAGCATTTACATCGACAAGGAACCGCAAAACTCAAAGTTTAAACTTCGTGACCGAATGACATAAAACTGACATGTCAACTCTAGCATTTTCGTCCTTGGTCGCGTAATTTTGAAAACGGGTGTAATAGTTTAGCCAAAATCTTAAAAACTGTACTGTGTGAAATGTTTTAATCAACCATGTCAAACAACGTCTGTTAAAATGTATTATTTAGTAAATGTTGTCCCTAGTTCGTCAACTCGAAACAATGGACCTTACCGTTTATTGCATTTTTCCCCAATGGCCTCGTTTTCATGTTTGCTTTATTTTGCCCAGTAGTCTCTTCCAAATGTTATATCCCTATATTCCTTGGACATAAATGTTTTTCTCTAAGTTTAAGTTTGTTACAAGTGCATCCATAACCCTGATTACACATAAACCACGAAAAAATAACCGCATGAAAACAAAGCCCTTGGGTAAAATGCAATGAACTGTAAGATCTATTCATTATAAATTTATGATTTAATCCAAGAGATTTTCTAGATCTTTTACTATATCCGGAAGGATGAAGCTGTCAAGTTATGTTTAGGGTACGATGCTGCAAATGTGAACAGTATAAAATTTGCCATCCAAGTGATACACGGTGATTCGAGGTGAACGTAACAATGTAATAGTTAACAGTATAAATCGTTAATTATTCATTTCATAGTTAAGTATAAGCAATATTCTTTCAGTTGGAACATAACGATGTATTATAATGTTTCATTAATTTCATTTCTTACGAATATGAATGAGTTTTTTGCAATTGGTTAATAGGTTTTAATACGTAAGTATTTCATGTAAACAAACGGTTTTATAAGTATACCATCATTGTCATAATCGTGAATCTCAAGACATTTCTGTCCATTTCTGCTACAGACACCATTAGAAATGCCTTCTCGATGTCACTAATAATTGTTACCTTTAAACGTATCGCTACATCAAATATGTTCTTGGATAAAGACAGGCCAATATACAAAAAATTGTTCAGCGAAGTTCCATTAGATTTACATGATGCATTGTAAACCACTCTCAAACATCTTCCTTATCTCAACATATGATATAGCATGATGGGGTAGGTAATGCACTTTCCCAGCCTCATTCGGTTCTATCCACTCTTTCGACAATCCCTTCATGAAGTTGGGTTTTGATAACATTGTCATACTTTTTCAGAATTTCTAGAGTTTGCTTCAATAGTAAAATGTGTAAAAACGTCGAAGAGATGCCTTGTAGTTATCAGGTAGGAGGGTATGTGGGCGTGAGTGAACTCTGCGTAATTCTGCGAAATATTGCTGTTTTTTTCGTATTTTCTTATTAAACAAGATATCAAATTAATTGTAAAGAGCTGGTGAATATTGCCTTGTGGTTTTTATCCTTGTACTGTATCGTGGTAGAGAGTTATATTGGATTTTGTCTTTGCGGTGTTGTAATTATTGTTGTCACGCAATATAAACAGGAAATTTCAGTTTTGTACTGGCTGGATTTTATTAAAAATTACTGTGTGGATTGTGATCTGTATTTGTGCTCCCAAGTTACTTAATTTTTGAACTATTTGGATGTTATATTATTATATTTGTCCACTGGCATATTCCGACTAATTATTGCGTTGGAATTTATTCAGTTTATCGTCAAGTTCGTTCGCGTATTTCCCGTTTGTGGATCTTTGTTGCTGTAAACTATCGTTATATCTGTACTTACTTCATCTTTTGGAGCATTTTGATATGTAGTCTTCTGGAGTTATCCGTATTTTGGATTTTATTTACTGTCATTAATATATATAACAATTTTTATTAAACCTGTTATCGGATTTTATATTTTGCTTGTATCTTTGGTTATTATTAATGCTTTAATGAAATACTCCTAAAACAGTATTATACTACACTAGGAGGAGTTATATATACTGAAAAACTAGATAATATTTATATTTATTTACAAGAAATTAGTCTTCATAATCACTGTATGACACATATATTAGGCGGTGATTATAGAATGATGTTGTTATATGTTATTATTACATGATTGACGCGGTTTTCTTTGTTATTCATAGACCTTTATTTTCCATAATGTCTTTCAAGTATATAAAAGCCCGGGGAGGGATCAACGTTACGTGGCTGAAACTTGGTGAATTAACAGATTTCCTAGTTATTTACATCTCCAGCGAATTTCACGCTTATATCGTATATACAATTCAAACTGTTTCAATTTTATTGTTTTTCCAACGGTCATTTTGCGCAACCTCGTACCCAGGGTATTTGCTCTTGGGAAGCGAAATACCCTGGTATGGGCTGGTCACGTGACCCACGGATTTTGCGTAAAATGGCGTATTGTTTACTAGGGTCGGGGGAGTGAGTATATATTGTGACAATTAATTAGATCGCTCTATGAATATAAACAATAACCATTGAATCTTCAAAGAAATCGTGATTATTCGTGAAAAGAACTGCAATTAAAAATTAATATTTATCGTGATGTGACTTTCTACTCTACAATCTAGTGTCGAGTTACAATTCAAGCAAATTGGATCAGATTTCAACTTATGAGAAAGCACGCGTGGACGGCGTGGCAATATAATAAAGCAGTACAAGAAAATATATATATCTAGACCGAACAATGTGGTTATTCATTTATTTAATTGTTATGAAAGTATATCTAGATACTCGAACCAAAAGAATTTATTTATTGATGAGATGTGGCATGCAATTGCAACGAAATAGCGAGATCTTTTGATTTCCGAAATATCGCCAAGACGCCAACTGTATCCAGATTGTTGACTATAAAAGCTTATAAAACTTCCTGCATTGGCCCTTGGCATTGCTGAAACTCAACAATCATGGTATATGTTAAAGTCTAGCTGTCTGTTGAAAATCTACAGTATTAAAATCATACATCAAAGATAAGTCAAACGACAATATACTATATTATGTCTTTCAATGGGCACTTTATATTAGTAATAGTGTTTACAACATTTATAAATTTTATAAACAGCTTTCGTTTTGACACAACTCACACAAGTTTAAATTTTTTGCTTTATATATATTCTTAATAATACAAGTGAGATTTAAATATTTTTCTTTGTGGAATAGAATCCCGTTATTTTTTAATGGACAGCTTGTATCGTCTTTATCATATCCAGGATTGCTTGTAAATGCATATATGACTATGACACTATCAAATAAATGTACAAATATATTCGAGAGCCTTGTTTTTTAGAGCATATTAATGACTAATGAACTAGAAATAAACAGATGATTCACAATGAAAACTTTACAAATGTTAGTAGAAGTAGAAAACTCGAAAATTTATGTTTATTCGTATGACAGTCTGTGCGCGTCTGACACTGTAAATTCACAATATATAGATTTAGTATACAGTCGAACCTGTATTAAGCGGCACCGTATTAAGCGGTCACCCTTTGTTAAGCGGTCATGTGGCAAAGTCCCGAAAATTTCATAATATAAATACTAGTTAAGTGACCTTTATTGAACGGTTAGTCCGTATTCCCAAGGCCAAAAAGTCGCTTAGAAAACAATTTTCGTTGGACACATTCGGAGACTACGTCAAAATCACAGAATATATAGATTCTTACGCACCTTTCAAAATTCTGCTTGTTGGCACTTCTATAAACCTGCAATTTTTCATAAATTTGCGTTTGAATTTCAACAATTGGCGCTCCTCGAAATTCGAAACCCGCCATTTTGTTTCCCTGGAAACTTGATGTAAGATGCATTGAAAAGGTGCTCACTATTGGAAACTTTATGTAATAATATTAAGAGGCAATTTTTTTCAATGTCACGTATTTGCAATGAAAAGTGTTCAAAACCTAAAATCTTTTTGGCGTTCCTCTCAAAATTACTTTGTTTTAGCTTTATTCTCTAGTTTATAGAGTTAGCTACCTTTT